CTGTCTCCCAACTCAGGTCCTGGCTGCATGAAGGCCAGACTTCCTCCCTCCCAATTTGGTTCCAATCTTTGTGAGCAGAGGGTGTCATCAAATGTCAAACACTTAATCCTGGCTTTGCACAGTTGATGGTGTGGGGTGTGATAAAGCAAGGAGGGTGGTCGTGTTCCATGTGAAAAGGGTCATGGATGAGAACTGTCACGTGCCTGGGCAACCTATGTTAGAGAAATTAGGAATTCAGACATCCAGTGGTGCTGATAGGAGGATGGTTTGGAGGGAGACAGTATAGAAGCCTAACTCTATATTAAAGGCTATATTCTATATTAAAGGCTCATTCCCTCCAAATTTTCTGGGGCACCATTCCAAGTAAGATTTAGTGGCATTTCTCCCCACCTGCTGGGTCACAAATATGCCATACTTTTTATTTGTTTTTCTTAATGTTTAAAGTGTTATTTACATACAGCAAAATACCTATATTTGAAATGCACAGTTTGATGAGTCTTATACAACCCTAGTCAAGACACAGAAATTGTTACACCCTCCCCACCTCCCAGTTTTTCTCATGCCTTCTTCCAGGCAGTCGCCTCACTTATAGCAACACTATTCTGATTTCTATTATTTAATTACTCAAATCAATATGTAGAACTTTCTAGCATCCCAGAAATTTCTCTTGTGCCTCTTCTTCCATCAGTACCTGCCCCCACAGTAGCTGTACTTCTGGCTTTTTCACCATAGATCAGTTTTGACTATTCTTGAACTCTTGTATAAGTAGAACCATTATGCATTCTTTTTTTTTTTCTTTTTTTTGTGCAAAGAATTTTTTTGAGATTCATCCACGTTGTGCGTGCCCTGTTTCTTCCTTCCTTCTCACTGAGTGGTAGTCCCTCGGATGTGTGTGTGTCATTTTGTTGACAGACAAGCACCCACCTACGTCCAGCTCCCAGGGCTTCTGATACCCTCCTATGCAACAGCTTCTGAATCAGCCTCTATCTCTCCTACTCCCTTGTCTAAGCCCTTGGGGTGAAGATAAATTCCATGCAGCCAGGACTGTGTCTGTGCCTACGATGGTGTGTGACAAACAGAAGTAGGTACTTAATGTTTGCAGAATGAGTGTTCAGAGCACATAGCTGTAATTGTTTACCAGTCTGGCTCTGGGTGGTACCTTCCCAAGCAACTCAAAACTATAGGATCCTAGGAAATTTTCTTTGCTCATAGACTTAATATGAACATCTGGTCTCAGTACAGCTTCCTTAATCTCTGGACCAGATTAGATCCCTTCAGGGACCTCATAACTGCCTCTGTCACTCCCATGATGACCTCATTACATGTTGTCATTGCTGCTTTCCTTGGCTGCCTTACCTTCTGATTCCATGGGTACAGAGCTTGCATTTCTCTTCACTGATAAATTTCACATGCTCAGTGCTCTGTCTGGCATGCAAGATGTGTAGAGTACATGCTAATTAGGGTTTTTTTCACAGAGAGATTCTTTTGGTCAGATTGTTCACCCTAAGACCCCAGCAGTTAGACAAAGCCCTTCATGAAGAGAGAGATGGATTCAAAAACACGGCCTCTATGGGAGGTTTCTAAGTGAATATATCGTTTCATGGCTGGGGTCATGCCTTTGTCCTTGAAATATTTTAGGCCAAATGTTAAATCTATGAACATGCTGGGGAGGGGAGGTCATGATCATGGGAACAGTAGACATTTATTTGACATTGTCCTATAGAAATCTTGGCATGTTTATTTTCACCCAAAGGTTTGGGAACCTGGGAGTATGGGAGTACTCATTTTGCAACTCCTACATTGCTTCATTCCCTTACCTGGCTGCACTCCGTACTTTAGCCCCTGTAACAGATGGTTATAGGAGACCCAAGGAAGCATAAGATATTATAGGCATGTGGTCTATCAGTAGAATCTCTGTGCATTTCCTTTAATCTCAACATAGACCCTCAGGGGTTCATGAATTCCTGAAATGGTGTGCACAAACTCCGGGTAATATACTTAGATGCATGTTCCTGAGAAGAGAGTCTAGACATTTTTCATCAGATTTTCAGAACTTATGTATCCCCCAAAGTTAAATACTACTGGTATAGACTTCCCTAATGACTTTCTGGTTAATTACATAAACATCTCAAGATGTACAAGAGGAAAAAGGGAGGAGCTGGAATGGCATGTGGTTCCCCAGTGCCCTGTCCCCACCCCTTCTAGCTTAACATGTCATGATCCCTCCTTGGGTCTAGGTTTTCTTCCCACTGACTCTAGCCGTTGGATTAGATAGCCTCACGCATTTCTCATACTGTCTTGTTGAGGAGTTCATCTTAGAGATAAAAGAGAACTACTATAAGAAACATGGTTTTTCCATGTGTTAAAAAAATAATGTGCTGCTTACCAAAAAAAAAAAAAAATCATTCTGTTTCATTCCTGCTTCTCTCTTTCTGAACCACTAGTTTGTGTGCCTTTTAAAGAATGCCAATTATAAATCAAATGGATCACTAAAAAAGGAAAGAACAAAACAAAACAATAATCTGATGGCTTCTTGGTGCCAGACACAGGGAACACTGTGATGAACTTACAGAGTCTATTCTTGAGGGGATGAAGGGAGAGATAACCACATGGCGAATCTGCACAGAAACGTGTGAACTTGCAAGTCATTTGAGATAAGGACATTTATATGCCCAAAGAGATGTTGGTTACTATACTTGCACATACCCTTAGAAACACATAAAAAGAGACTAAACATTTGGAAAGATTAATGCTTTATTTTCTTTCTGGTGGTCAGCAATTGAAAACTGCCAACGTCTGAAATAGGAGAGTGGAAAACTGTGGGCGAAAGTCAATGGATGAGAGCTTAATGTGACCACTCACTCAGCTCCCAAAGTATTGAAGTTTGCAGCTCTGAATTCTGTCCAGGTCCAGTCTGTGAATAATTATATTAAGGAATTGGGCAGCGACATCACAGAGCTACAAAATATCACCCTTGGGGCCTCATTGGAGATGGATGGGAACTCTGGAGACTTGATAATGGCAATCAAAGGGTCTATATATTTAAAATGCACAAAGGATGAGCCCAGAAATTATCTGCCTGCCAACCTAACTTCTCTACCTGGAACAAATTATCCAAAAATCAATTTGCAAACACCTTTGAGATAACAAGGTCTTGAGTAATAACCTCCACGGCTTTGTAAAGAAAAGCATCTAGCTTGACTAATCTGCTTAATTTCCTCCTCTGACCGAATGGCAGGCCATAATAGAGGCAATCTGAAGTTGTCCCTTAAGATTTGCTTCGAGTCACACTGAGAAAATATTGTCCACCCCGGTTTCTTTGCAATTATTCTGTTTCTGGAGAATCTTTCCTTCTTGGTAATTCATTGGAAGGAAAACGCTGAATGAGACTCTATCTCAAAGCCCTCACCTGAGTCCCAAGCCAAAACTCATACCTGCCTTTGTCCATGTGAATAGCCCAGAGGCCCTCCAAAAGTAACATGTTCTCAAACAAAGTTACATTGTACTCCGCCCCTGTAGTCCTCCCCTTTCTCCACTTCCTCATTCTACTCTAAGAATCATTAACTTGTTCATACCTCTTGACAGGCAATCCCATAACCATTGGTCCTGAGAAAAGATGAGACAGGAGGGACAACAATCATCATTGCACAAAGATATTTGTTGTAGCATTATTTACCAAACAAAACTTTGAATAACTCATGTGCCCAACAACTGAAGAATAGTTAGTGTGATAACCTGATGGCTTGTTCTGTAGATAGATATTAGAAGCTCTGACGATAAAGCCTGTGCAGTCTATGAAAAAAACAAATCCTTAAAATATAATCAGTGAAGGGAGAAAAGCAAATCTACATTGGGTCTATGTGTTATTATAAGCACATGAAAAAGGTGTCAGTATATAAATAAAAATTGGAATGGAATATGGAGAAATAAAAATAACTGTCATGGTAGGTGGTAGGGAAGGGGGCATATTTTCTCTTTTTTTTTCAGTTTCTTTATTGTTTTTCCATTGCTACTTTTGCTATTAATAAAAATAACAAATATATCCAGTTTGATTTTTAAATCAAATAATGGATATTAAGGGGCAAACAGCCTTTCACAGAGAAAGCTGGTCTGGGAAGGCATACAAGGGCAGGTGGTATCCTACCTTACCTTCTCCCTGACCTTGGTTAGGTGATCTAATTACTGGGGTTCTTCAAGGTGATAATGTCCCAATAATTGCATGAAATAATGCATGCGAGGTTTTCTTGTATATAAGATGTACAAAATAAGAATTAATTTTTGCAGCTTTGCCATGAGCTGAGGATTGCCAGGAAGAGTTCACTGTGCATGCCTGCTGAAATTCTAGTCTACTTACCTGACTGTACGGAATTTAGTGGAGGAGGGGCTGGCAGCACAGAGCAGATAAAAGATAACTCAGCATGGCTTTTCCTTTGACCCTTCATTCCCGCTGGATCCGCTGTGGCCAATGACACTTTCTCTGTTTGCAGAAACCTGGCAGAGTGGAGGAAGAGCTGAGTTCTTGCTGTGCCACCATTGTTTCCCTATTCAGGCTCATGTCACCATTTGGCAAGACCTTCCACTAACAATCTGTATGTTCCTGTATGAGAGATGTTTATAAACCTCAGACTCCCCTGGGTTTTGAACCAAATTCCACTTCAGCAAAAGCGAGTTTTCCTTTGAGGCTAGAGAGCTTAGTATTCACCCAGCAGTTTTGCCGTGTTCTGGAGAAACCACTTCCTCATATCTCCTTCTTTCCTTTCTTCCTTTAAATAAAGAAGGTGTGGCAGGTGTCGAATATAGTTCTGGAATCAATACTGATTCATGTATTTACAAATAAAAACTTGAAAATTAAAGTGGACATGAATGGGGTTTAAAAAAAGGGAGATTTTGGACTATTTTCTATGGCTATGTCTAGAATTCTACCCTTGACCTCACACGCTTGGATTCTGCTCTGAAGACCACTGGAGTCTGACAGTCCTTTGCGATTGCTTGTCTTACAGAGCCCCCCACGCCCATTGCCCCCCCAGAGCTGCTGGCTGTGGGGGCCACCTACCTGTGGATCAAGCCAAACGCCAACTCCATCATCGGGGACGGCCCCATCATCCTGAAGGAGGTGGAATACCGCACCACCACCGGCACCTGGGCAGAAACCCACATAGTCGATTCCCCCAACTATAAGCTGTGGCATCTGGACCCCGACGTGGAGTACGAGATCCGGGTGCTGCTCACGCGGCCCGGCGAGGGGGGCACGGGACCGCCAGGGCCTCCGCTCACCACCAGGACCAAGTGTGCAGGTAAGAGCCTCTTCCGGACTGCACCATGACAGCTGTGCTGTCGCCGCAGCTGGTCTTCCTCTTGCCTTTCTGTGACAAATGAGTCCTAAATTCCTTTGATGTGAGTGTACTTCGTGTTGCGGGAAGAAGCAGTCAAGGTTTTGGTCTTTTCGTAGAGGACCTCCTGGCTCTGGTTGTATCTCTGGGTACTTGGGTCTGGCTGTGACTCTAAGACCCTCCTTACTTTGGCTGTGTCACGGAGAGGCTCCTGGTTCTGAAAGTGTTTCTGGTGGGACACTGGCTCCACCTTATCGAGGACTCCAGGTGCCAGTTATGTGTCTGGGGCTTCCTAGCGCTAGTAGTGTCGCTGAAAGCTCCTGGCCCTGTTTCCCTGAGGGTTCCTGGCTTTATTTCTCTGAGGGCTCCTGGCTCTTGACTGTGTGCCCTGAAGGTCACATTTAGACTATGTCCTAAATACAGGATATGAGGGCTTGTGGCTCCAGTTGTATCTCTAAGGTGTTTCCGATTTTAACTTTGTCCCTGAGGATCCTTGGGCTAGGCCTGTGGCCCTTGGGATTGGCAATTTCCCTGATAGTTCTGACAGTTTCTGGTCCTAGTTTTATCTCTGAGGGCCTCCTGGTGCCAACCATGTCTTAAGTGCCTCCTGGCTTTGACTGTGTCTCTAAATTATTTCTGGAACTGCCTGAGTCCCTAAGGGCTTCCTGACTCTGTATCCCCTGGAGACTCCGAGCTCTTACCCAAGAGTCTGGGTTGCGGCTGTTCCTCTGAGGGTTCTCTGGATCCTACTATGTCTCTGTGGGCTCCTGACTGCAACAGTTTCTCCGATATTCCTGGATCTTGCCTCAGAGTTTGCTGGCTGGGACTGTGTCTGGGGGGTGGGGAGGATTCTTTGGATACAGCTGTATCCATAAGGCCTCCTGGCTCCTACTGCATTTCTAATAAGAGGTATTGGCTGGGACTGTGTGTCTGACTGTATCCCTGAGATGGGACTGGCTCGGAATGCAACTCAAGAAATTAAAAGAAATTGGAGTTTAGTTTTTGCAAATCATATATTGTCTCTTTTTTCACTCTAAGTAATCATGCACTATAAGTACTTTTTATCTCATCATACAGGAAGAAATGGAGGTTCAATATTTTTAAACTTCTTGTCCAAGGTCATAGAGTTGGCCAGTGGCAGAGTGATGATTTACACTCAGATTTTCTGACTCTATGCCTTTTATCTCTGCCCCCCGCCCCCTGTGATAGATAAAGAGAGGAAAGTGCCTGCAGCATGGCGTGCAGACCTGGGGGGCTCCCGTGGGGGTGGGCTTAGTGGGGCGGGCAGCATGGGCTTCCCAGGGAAATGGCCTTGCCAACGGCTTCCGGGTGGGGAAAGGATTCATCAGTGCAGCAGCCATGGAACAAAAAGCAAGGTAAAGTGCACTCGGTTCTGCTCTAACGAGACACGTAGGTCCCTAAAACCCACCACTCTGTGCCAAGTTATGCAGTAAGAACCACAGGGCTTGGGGAAAAGTGGGGCTGGAGGCCTCTCCCACTCTTGTTTCCTCCATGACACATAAGAAAACAGAGGAACCTAGTAAAAAGGGTGGCACAATGTTATACATGTGAAAATGGCTAAGAAATACATAAATCCAGGTTGAACATCCAGAGTCCAAAAACCTAAAATCCAAAAGACTCCCAAATCTGAAACTTTCTGAGTGCCAACGTGATGCCACGATGAAGATGACATTGTTGACGCTGCAGAAAAAGTGCCTACAGAAGCCATGGTGAACGCGCATGATGCGCTTGTGGAAGGACTAGAGCACCGTGCGTTCGTAATAGGACAAGAAACCATGTCAGTTTATAAAATCAAAGAATTCTAAGATGAAAGCTGTTGTTAATAAGGCAGGTGACTCTAGAGGAGACATCTTAAAAGACTGTCTGGCAGAATGCCTCCTCCTCCCCAGAGGCCCCACTTCCTGGTCCCTCAAATGCTTCTGATATTTCTTCTCATGGAAAAAATAACATACAATGCACAGGAACCTTTTCATGAAGACACAGCATTGTAGGCGGAGACTGAACTCCTGCTATTGTTTGTGGATGCTGTTATCTAACAGCTGACACAGGTACCTGGTGCTGCTTAGTCACCCTGAACACATTATTTTTTCACTGTATCAGTGGTTTGTCATATTTTTTACTGTTGAGTACCTGTATATAAATAAGTGCAAGAAAATGATTGCTTATTGGTAGTATATAAATGCAGAGGCAGGCATGATGGTGATGCCAAACAACCCCAGATCGCTCACATAGGTGGCTGAGATAGTGACACCTTTGCTTTCTCATGGCTCAATGCACACAAACTTTGTTTCATGCACAAAATTATTAAAAATATTATTTAAAAAATTACCTTCAGGCTATATGCATAAAGTATATATAAATATAAAACATAAATGAATTTCGTGTTTAGACATGGGTCCTTTACCCTAAGATATCTCATTATGCATATGCAAATATTCTTAAGTTCAAAAAATTCTGAAATCTGAAATACTTCTGATTCCAAGCGTTTCAGATAAGGGCTACTCAACCTGTGCTACAGTACATATGGTGTGTTACCTTGAAAAAGACCTGAGGTTTGCTTGTGGAAGTGGGCATCAGAAAGGTTGCAGCCTGTTAGTTACTGGGGAGTGGTGGAAGGAAAGCCATCTGAAATTGGGAGGAAGTTGTTCCGTCAGGTGTGGATGGGTGTGACTCGTAACACAAGCAGCCAGTGGAGGAAGCAGGTAGCATTGGAGGTGTGTGCCTTTTGCATATTCCTAAGTGGCTCAGTTTAGCTGGGTGCAGTTTGCTGTTTCACTAGTGTTTCTTATATAAGAAACCACACATAAGCAAACATGAAATTTGTGTTATGCTCAAATTGTTCCTTCATATGTCTATAGTGTTGGAACAAATTTGTGTTTTCAAAACATGCGTTATAGCAGAATTGACTGAAACCGTTCTTAAGTATATCGATGGTGTTTCTCGGTACTTCATAATCTAAGTGTTTTCATTGCTTGGAAATATTCCTTTGAAGGTTATTGAACCACTGTAACACACAGAGATGCCATTTTCTTGATTATTTTCAAACCAGGCCTTTGGTAAAATTCCTCATTGAAACCTGATTATGAAACTTACTACTTTAAAAGGACATAAGGGTATGTTATTAAACTGGGTGATACCTTATCTCAGCTTTGCAATGCAATATTCATCCATAAAAATAATTGATTTGATCCTGCTGATGAAACTTCCCTCTTTCCACAGGGTAAATGTAAGGGTTTCCGGGGTTTTTGATCTTTATAAATGATATTCAAAGTACTTTAGTGGCCCCCATGGACTTATTTGCTCATGATTGTATAATACATTTTGAAATTCAATCGCAAGATGATCATCTCAATAAAAATTTACAACCTATTGCTAACTGTTGCCACGGCTTGTGTAATGGATTTTACATGTTGAAAACACAATAGTCTGACTATCACTATAAAAATTATGAGTTGAAATGCTGTTTGTGGTATTTTATTTCAAAAAGTGTTGGTGTTTAAGTAAGTTAGAGCTGAAATCTTGAATAATCCACATTTTACCAAATGTGTCATCAGGAAGATAATCTTCTTTCCCATACTGCCACTGATGGTGGAATGTTTTTTGCCTCATAATTAATTTTTAAGAGCATTCTAAGGGCTGATAGCTATTTGTAGGTGTTGTTTATTGGTGCTAGTAGTCTGAGTTTTTTCCCTATTCCTTATTCTATTATTAATCACAGTGGATATGTACTCATTATTTTACAAAACAGAAAATAAGAGAATGTGGAGTATGGAAGGTATAATTTCTGCCCAGAGGAATTTATAGGCTGGATTAAGATTCCAACAAAACCGCAAAAAATAAAAAAGTAAAACATAAGCACTGAAATAGCATACTTCATGGAGGGAAAGAGGATCAGCACAGACCAGCAAGGAAAGAGAAATGCTGTCAGAATATTCTGGAACAGTGGTTCTCAGCATGTGGTCCCTACACCTGCAGAATCAGTATTGCTCATAGCCAAATGTTTGCATTCCTCCAAAATTCATATGTTGAAATCCTAACCCTCAAGGTGATGATATTAGGGTGTGGGGCCTTTGGGAGGTGATTGGGTCATGAGGACAGCACACTTATGAATGGAATCAGTGCCTTTATAAAGGAGACCCCAGAGCACTCATGCCCCCTCTGCCAGGTGAGGACCCAGGTGGTGAGCCCTCTCGAGACACCTGATCTGCCAATGCCTTGCTATGGGACTATACAGTCTCCAGAACTGTGATCAGTAGATTTCTCTTGTATAAGTTACCCAGCCTATGATATTCTATTATAGCAGTCCAAATGGACTAAGACAAGTGTCCCTTGGGAACTTGTTAGAAGTGCAAATTCTCACACCCAGTCCCCTGACCTAATGAATCAGAAATTCTGGAGGGTGAAGCCTGGAAATCTGAGCATAAGTAGCCCTCGGAGTGATGCTGCTATATACCCAAGTTTAAGAGTCACTGCTATACTGTGACATACCAAAGTGTCCCTTAGAAATATATCCATTTCATACCCTTGATTCTTACATCAGCTCTGAGCAGTAGATGGGAGGAATACTGAGGCTGTGATTCCTGGGGCCAAGGTTCCAAATCAGTTTGGTGCTTAAAGCTAAGTCTCTTGCCCTAAGGAACTCCTCACCACATAGCTTGATGGAGTCTGCAGCCCTGGGTGCTTCCTCTGCTCACAGGTGTCCTTTTGGCATTGGGTAGTAGAGAGAGAGATAACTATGGAGATCAGTTGAGAATGGAAGGCTGAATATATACTGAAGATTTAGTCCTTTTCATCAGACATTTACTGAGTCTCTTGTATGTTCCTAACTCTGTGCTGGGCACTGGTAAGGACATAGTTGGCTTGGTAAGGACACGCTAGGAACAGACAGAGGCTTGGCAGCAGTAAGCTTAGATGTGGGTGTGCAGAAGACGTTATCTTCTTCT